CCACCCTCTACCTCTCTTCTTCCCTCGCTACTTGTTTGCGTCAATTCTTCTCTGATTTCCTCCCCCCACCGTCTCCACTTTTATCTTTATTCCTTTTGAAAACTCCGGGATGGGGACTGCGAGGCATGCTTTTGGAGCGAAAGAGAGCGGAAAGGAAGTACAGGGAGAGAGAGAGAGAGAGGGGTGGTGGGAGGAGGGAGTGCCCCTCATGAAAGAAAGGGAGGGAGGAGAAAGGATAAATGAGGGGGTGAGAGAGAGAGAGGGCAGGGAGGGAAGAATGCAAGGCCAGCTGTGTTAAATACCTGACTCTTTGCAAGCCCCTCTGAAGGTCAGCCTGGAGCTGGGGGCCTACAGCTTCAGTCCTGCTGGGTCTCTCCCTCATGAAGACCCCCCTTTTTTTCATCTCCACTTTCTTTCCTTCTCTGACACACTCTCATGCTTCCGCTCTATACTTTTTTTTCTCCCCCTCTTCCCTTTTCTCCTCCTTCTGTACTGTTGCAAGAATGCATGCACAGCGGGAGATGAATGCTGAGGAAAGAGTGAGTGTGAACGAAAGAAATGGAAAGAGAGAAATGGTGGGCTACTTAAGAAGGCATCAATGGAGCCTAACATGAACTTGTGTTGAAGGATCGAGCTTGTTGATGAGCTGGTCACATTCAATCATTACAGACTATTGTTATATTGTTGTTATTGGCTATATAGGCAAGGTCACATTCACACTCCACGTCATTAAAACCTCAGAAGATATAACCTGTCTTGATCCTCGCCATGAGTGAAATACAAAAGTCACCCACCTGTTGCATACTGTTTCAAAGTAATTAGTATTGATCAGATGTTTGTTGTTGTAACCTCCCCAGACCATACAAGAGAGGAGACCCGATCAACCCCTGCCATGCCGGCTCTTTCGCCCCCGTCAGCAGCACCAACGACAGCGAGGTGTCCAGCGACGCCTTGACGGACGACGCCATGTCCGTGACCGACAGTAGTGTGTAAGTGAATATTAACCAACATCAGTGTGTGTGTGTGTGTGTGTGTTTGAAAGCCAATGCCAACCAGAGAGGGTGTTTCATACAAGTGAACAAATAAAGTTCTTTCCTTCAGCTGGCTGTTAAGAGTCATCGCCAAACTAGAATCATGGTTTTCTGTGATGGGAATGTTGGTGAATTGTGGCCCCTTGAAAAGAATGGAATAACTCTGTAACTAAGAGGTCATTGTGAGTTGATACATGGAAATGAGAATCAAGACTTTACATTCGGTGTAGCAGTTTAAATTGTTGGTAAAATAGTTTCCCCAAAGTGTCAAAGGGTTGTAACTAATGGCTTGTTTTAATATCTAGTTGTTGTTTGATTCATTTGTGATTCGTTGGTCTATAAGATTTCACAGGTCCTGTTGCAAAGACGTTTAATTAACAATGAAACGGCATAAATTCACATTTCACAACCTCAAATGCGAACATTGGGACATTATCAGAACTGTTGTTGATTAACCGCCCAATGGATTGACTAATCAAGAGATTGGCTAATCTTTTCTGCACGAAAAATGTGTGCACAAGTACATTGCCTCTGTCCACATGTAGTTGGTGCTTATCTGTGTACGTGCCTACGGCCTTGTTCTTCAAAGGGGATTACTTGGCATTATCACGTGTCCATCTAGTGACAGGGTACGATGAAGTCATTGAATGGTGCACGACTCAAGGCCAAGAGCGCTCAGGTCAGCTGGTTTTTGGACAGAAAGCAGAAAAATGTTCTTCTTTACCTCATCTCACATGGGAGGCCTTCATGGATGATGTCACTAAAGCAGCCAAGTTAAACATTAGCGAGCTAAAGAGACTCAAAGACGGAGACACTGATGTTCAACCTGTGGGCCGGGCTGCTCATAAATTCGGCAGCTATAAAAAGAGTTTTTTTTACAACAGGATCCTCGGCTCTGGCATATCTCTAGACAGCCCTGCTTCAAAGAGGCCGAGGCCCATATAGTCCTATTCTGATGTACTTTGCCCAGTGCAGTGACAAAGCCGTAGCCACAGGGATATCTGCCTCTCTTTTGGTCAGTTTAAAGGATCCATAAACATTTGAATCTCATTTACAGA